AACTTTGAGATATGGAGAAATTCTGGCTTTGTCATACTAGGGAGAGAAAATTAACTTGCCTGTGTTCTTGCTTTGTCTGGTTAATCAAGCAGATGATAACCAGATAACAAGGCAGACTTGAAGCTTCATTCTCTCTCCAGTCTTTGTACTGTGCGTACGTATCTCATGAGGCGTCCTATATAAATATCCATGAGTATGTTTATTTCTAAAAATGTTTCCGCTAACATTAAGTCTGAAATATATTTAATATAGTTTTGTGCTTTACTGTACAGATGCTGTTTTTAAAAGCATTTAGCTGGCCCAGCACGTTGTCTGGTCAAACAACAGCAATCAGTGTGGCCAATTTACAACAATACTCGGAGGTTAGATGTAATTCTTTATTTAGACCCATGGATGGCAGATAAAAGATGAGGAACACAGTGTTCAGGACAGCAGCTGATGCTCTCTGTCTCTTCTGTCTCCTCTCTTTCTATCTTTCTGCTCTCTGTTCACCTGAACCACGACGCGAGGCACAGGCGCTGTTTGTCCTGACACTTGCTTGAGGCACCTCGAAAGGTCATGAGACGTAATAATAACAGCAGGGGGACATTCTGAATAATGATAGTAGACATTTATTATACAGGAGCACAAGCAAGCCCCTGCAGGGTTTGTGCTGGGTCAGTCATTTATGATGCTGGGCTAGGTTTCAGAAATAACCACATTTACACCAGGTCCTAATTATTCCCCGCTTGTCGCTTTACTACCTTAGGAAGCTGACATTATTGCCAAGCCAAGCTTTGGCAATCAGGTGAAATGAGGCTTTATTAATAGGCATTTTCATTTTCAGAAGCTTTCACACATGCTCAGATTTTTCTCTGCAATTCAGACCGCTTAGGCATGAGCAAACTGAGGCTCCTTAACAATAATTTCAATCATAGGTAATTCAAGAAAGACACTGAAGAAAATAGGAATGGAAACAAATAGATTCCTTTGTTTGCTTTCCTCTACTGTAACTGAGAGTCTGACTGATGCAAGAGAGAGTGACAGTGCCGTGAAGGCAGTGACAGAAACTGATGGGAGAGAGGCGCAAAAAGAGAGACGAGAGCCAGAAGATTAAGTGCAACAGTGAAAGACGGGCAAGAGCGTGAGGGTCTGTGTTAACGTCTGTAAAGTGAGAGTAAGAAACTGGGCAGTGAACGATTGAGAGAGGATGATCCAGCCAGAATAAAATGAAATGAAGGGATTAGAGGAGGGAGAGACAAATGGGACTGTCCAAGAACAGTCACTCTGGCAAAGTTTCATCAGCGTGAGAGAGGACTTGTCGTGCTCTGAGTCACAGCAGATGGCCAGCGCTATCAAGTGCTAATAGAGGTATGTAGCAGCCACTATTGGTGGTAAAACTCAACCAACCGAAGATTCCTCTGTGACGACACCATCTATTGCTGCTTATCTGGTGTCAAGTGAACAAGTAAACAATTTAGTGGCTTCTGGCAAATTCTAATGTCACTATTTCATCCTAAACACAGTTATAGTATATGTTACGTTGTTTACCTACCCAATTAAAACATATAGACAATAAAGAAATGGTAAAGGAAGCTTAGTCTTCTTCTGCATTTTATCTCACAAAGAATGTAAATCTCAGTTATAAATGGACAGATTGCTGTATGTGTCTGTTCTTTGCATTTTATGCATGAAGGTCCATGAAATGTACTTCTAATTGGACTGGTGTATTATTAAGAAAGTAAAGGAGAGTAATGTTGAGTTTGTTTATATTAGCATTTTGTTCTTTTTAATTTTAGTAATTAAAAATAATGCAACCTATTCTACTTATGCATTTATTGACAAGGATTATGCCACAGTGATAATTTTTAATCCTATGATGTCTTATCTAGTCTATCAAAGTGAGTACTAGTCACATTTTCCTCATCTGCCTGTCATACTGGCCGCCCTGAAAACGTATTATTGTTAATTAAAATTAAACAAAGGATTTAAGCTAGCTCAAACAATAAAGGCAAACTCTTTAGCGAATGACGATCAAGACCAGTATTAGATATTTGGCTATATTCTTTCATTTCAATCTAGGCTTTTACTTCCAACATTCTAACATGTGAAATTAGCTAACATTAGCTTGCATGCTAACTGATTACTAATGGCAGTATTACTATTCTTGAATAACACTAGCTAACCGTATCTAATTACAAATGGTAGGTTAACTTAGGCCAGTGTTAGCAAAGTAAATAAGACACATTATATTTAATTTTAACTGCAAAAAACTTATGTTACCTTAGTTGTGGATGACTCTCTAGCATCTGTTTTTAAATGGGTGACTTTACACCCTAGTGGTTAACAAAAACTCAGCTGACACAGTGGTAAAGATGCAGTTTTTGAATGTGCTCCATACAGTTTGTGGCACTGTGAGGTTGTATAAGAATAATCTCAGAAGTTATTTTTCTAATACTTCAGGAAATCTTTATAAGGAACTTGTTCATATGCTCCATAGTGCTGATCTAGCAGTACTGTTATGTCAGAGATAATGATAAATTGATGGCACGCAAACTAATTGATTTGAGAGGTCAATGTCTCAAAACCATGAAATATATTACTTAGCTGGTAAAAAATAAATAAATAAATAGCATGAATTCAATGAGACAAAATAAACAAAAGTGGAGCCAAGTGACAAGGAAACACAGAGCTTCTGGTGAGTCTTGGGTTACTCAGTAACACAAAAACATAGATAGCGGCTATCTGGTCTGTAGCTGTCTTTGGAAAGAATGTATATCATTCATATTTATTCACTGCAATTTTGTTTCAATTTCTGGAAAACCCATAAATCAAATTATTAAAAAAAAATGCAATCTAGCAAGAAGCAGATAGTTATATTTAAAGTAAAAGCAAAACCTTTTGAGTATTTATAGAAACTGTCATTGAAAGGTACAGTAGTGACAGCATGAAGCTAACAAAAGAAAACAAAAAGGTAAATTTAAAATTAATCTTGACAGCAACATTTGTTTGAGCTCTTTCCATCTGAGGGATAAAAGACTGCTGCATCAGTAAATGAAAACAGCCATGAGAGCACGCTTTCAAATACATCTAATTTCTGCTGTAGGTACAAATTCCTTTGAGCTAAATGACGACTGTTCTGCTTTATGATGCTTGGCTCACATTACAAGCAGGATAGGGCCCTCACACACTGAGGCATGCTGCGTTTGAGGTGTGCCGCTGAAGTGGCTGTTGCACAAACCATTTGCTGTACTTATCACTTACTGTCCCACTATGTGGCATTCAGCAACACCCACTAATTATATGTCATGTTACTGTGTACAACACGTGGGACCCACAAAGAAAATGTCGTGTTTATGCTGACTAATGCTGATTTTCTGTTGCTACTAGGTGGAGCTAGTAGACAAAATATTGACATGCATAGATTTTTTCCATTTTTGGAGTCTAATCAAGAATGTCTTGGGCAGTGGTGAATGAGTGAAATTTACTGTGCTGTCACAGCCATGCAATCCACTTAAAACTCACTTTTACTTTTAAAAGTAAGCAACATCAACATCTAAAGTTTATTCAGATGTAGATGTGATTATTCTGTTAGGACAGGGGTGGGCAAT